CCTTCTGGAGCAATCCCTCGACGAGCTCGAGGCCTTGGAGGAGGTCGCCTTTCGCTCGGCGCGCCGAGCTCAGAACAAGGCGGCATCGGGGTCGTTGCGCAGTTTCCAGGACTGGATCTCCGACTCAGCTGGCGCCGTGCATCGTTCGATCAAAGACCCCGAGCCAGAACAAGACGAGCTCCACGTGGACGGCTGCAGTCTGGCGCACCCCGTGGACATCATCGACAAGAAGGTGCAGCGGTGGCATGCGCTGTGGCAGTCCAGCAGTGCGACCTACGAAGACATCCTCAATGCGTGCGAGCTCATCCGCCAGCACGCCCAGGTCGAACAGCTGGAGCCGCTCACGGTCCAGGACCTCAGGCGGGCGATCGCCAAGATGAAGGCCAGGGCAGGCATGGGCGTGGACAGGCTCTCGCCCACGGACTTCGCCCGTCTGCCCGACGAGGGCCTCCGTGAGCTCTGCGACATCTACCGCATGGTCGAGGAGGGCCTGACGTGGCCGTGGCAGGTCACGTGCGCGCTGGGCCGCCTGCTCGGCAAGAAGCCGGGCGGCGACAGATGCATAGGGCTGCTGCCCATGTTCTGTCGCGTCTGGTCCATGCCCAGGGAGGACCTCGTTCGCGATTGGGTCGCCGACCAGGACGACTATTGGGACGCGGCAATCGCTGGCAACAGCGCCTTGAGGGAGGCGTGCATCAGGGCGCTCGAGGACGAGGTGCAGACGGCGCTGCGCCTGCCCCACGGGCAGGCTTTGCTGGGCGTCGAGGCCTTCTACGACGGGATCGAGATGGCCTCGTTGTCCTCCTGCGCCCTCAAGAAGGGCTTCCCGCCCACTACACTGTTTCTAGGAATTCAGATGTTCTTGGCGCCGCGGCTGCTGGCTCAGCTAGACGCGGTGTCGCTGCCGTTCCAGACATCCAAGTCCGTGATCCAGGGGTCGCGGAACGGCACCAGATTCGCCAAGTGCATCACGGCGTTCGTGTGCAAGAAGCTCTCGGTCGCCCACCCGACGATGTCGGAGCGCATCTGGGTGGGCGACCTGTCGGAGCGCGTCGCGGGGTCCAGGGCGCACGTGCGGAGCGAGCTGACCAAGGCCGTGCTCAGCACCGTGCGCGAGTTTAAGAAGCTCAAGTTGAAGATCGCCCCCAAGAGTGCGATCACGTGCGCTCATCATGGAGACGCGGTGTACATCACCAAGCAGCCCAAGTCCAGGGTCGCGGAGGTGAAGGCCGTCACGCAGGCCCCGTACCTCGGCGTCGACGTCGGCAGCGGGCGCAGGCTGGCCAGAGACACTGCGCGGAAACGCGTGGTCAAGGCTGGCAGCCCCCACGGCCGCCTGCGGCGCTTTGCTCACGCTGCGCGGCGCTGGGGCGCTACAGCGCAGATCCAGCGCGCTGGCCCGCAGGCTGCGGCGGCCTATGGGCATCAGATCCATGGATGCTTCGGCAGTGTCATGCTCACGCACCGGCGACGCCTCGGGGCCGCGGCGGGCTCCAGCAAGCGCGGGAGGCGTTTAACAAACCTCCTCGCCCTGCTGCTCCCAGGGGCCGACCCTGGGACAGCTTTCCCGAGGCTTTGCTTGCAGCAGTGGTTTGCGACATGGCTCGGACAACCAGATCTTCGACGCTCCATCGTGAAAGTGCGGCCCCAAGTCTATCAGGACCTCAGGGACATCCCCGAGGGGCGACGGAGCAGGCACGTGAGGGGCCCGATGTCGTCGGTCATGCTCTACTTAATGCAGGCGGGATGGACAGCATACTCAGCTACAGCATGGCAGGTGCCGAATGACAGGACGGGGGGCACCCGCACGTGGCATTTCCACGGCGAGGCGTTCGTCGGCCTTGACCAGGCACAGCCGTTGCTGGACGAGTTCGAGGCCACTCTCGGCGCTCAACTTTGGAGCAATGCAGCCCAGCAGTATTGCGGGGCAGGGCTTGAGGGCGGCGCCGACCTCCAGAGCTACAGGCAGTGCATCTCGGCGCTGCTGCAAGCTCATCGTGGACGCCACCTTTTTGAGCTCATGGTCACGATAGCGACAGGTGGTTTCTGGCCGCAGCAGAGGAAGTACGACGCGAAGCTTGCCGTCAGCGACCTCTGCCTCCGCTGCCAGGAGGCTGTGGATACGCCAGTGCACAGGTGCTGGACCTGCAGTAAAAATCGAGATTCGCCCGCGTTCGCCTTGCCCGACGAGCTTGTTCCAGAAGCGTTAGCTGAGCAGGAAACGTTCCCGGCCTTTTGGATGAGAGGAATCATTCCAGCTGCTTGGGCAGCCGTCTCCCCTCCCCCCTCCTCCGAAGTCTTCCTTGGGAATTCGCTGATAGGAGGCTCTCTTGGGCCGGGGTGCTTCGGGCGCGGAGGCGCAGATAACCCCGTCCTCATTTTCAGGGGGCAAGGACACCCACGACCCCAGGCTCAGAAGAGTAGGATTGGCCGTGGCAGCATTCCAGTCTTTCTCACCGTGTATCTTAGGGCCCCACCTGACAGGCCCTCCCCCAGGCCCCTCACAGACGGTGCCTCGGGGTGAGCTTTTGAGTTTCGAGTGGCCCCTCAGGTTTTCCGAAGGGCGGCTTGTATATGTTACCGATTGTGCCGAGGTTGCCCGAGGGTGGTACGACAGAGTGTTCGAGGCCCCAGCAGGGCCGCAGGCCGACATCTGGCGAGCCATAGGTAGTCTGCTGCGTGCCCAGTCGCGCCCGTCGTTTCAGGTGTCAGTACTTCAAGTCCCGTCTCACCTCGAAGGCAGCGATGTTGTGGCCCAAGGCTGGCCATCCTGGCTCATCCAGGGCAACGTTTGCGTAGATGTTCTCGCGGGAAAGGCCGCTCTCAAGGCCAGGGCCCCAGAGGCCGAGCGTTTCCGAATTCACAAGATTGAGCGTAAGGCTCGCTTAGTTCGTCGTCGGTTGCTTCGCGTCGCCCTAGAGTCCACATGTGCCTCTTAGGAGCGAGAGGAGGCACCGAAGGCCTCCCGCGCTCGCCTCGCCCCCCCGCCTCCGAAGGCTATAGCACGCTTCGCGTCTGCCCACACCCTGACCGAAAATGGCAGGTCGTGTTCAGCGTGCCGTAGTTCAGCGCCCCTGGCAACAGAGGATGAATGGTTAAAAAGTGAGTGCTTCTCTCTGCCCCAAGTCAGTTCTAAGTTAGCTCGCCCCCCCCCCCCCCCTGGGCGGAATTTACACTTGGCTGGAGGTTGGACGCACCCCACCCACACCATGCATTATCACAAAGACCTTGGTGTGTGGTTTTGCTGCTCATGCGGATTCTTCGGTCAGGCCCAGCTCAGAGGGCTCGGGAATCCTTGCCGCCCACAGTTGATTACCAAGGCCAGGCGCGAGTACCTTGATCGTATCTCTCGCGACCTGTTTCCCAAAGTCTGAGCTAGCATGCTTGTATCACTACGTGATGGCCCAAATCCTGGAAATCCTCCTCCTCCTCCTCTTCCTCCTCCTCCGCCTCCTCATCATCATCCTCCTCATGCCAGCGGCGACGTCCCCGTCCTGCTCGATGGCCGCGATGCCGTTCACAGTCACGCGGCGCTCTCGCGTGTCCTGCACCTTCCACTCGATTCTGACATCCTTGCCGTTGGCGGCGGGGGACTCCTTGATAAGCGACTCGGCCTTGCGAATGGCGTCATTCCGCTTGCGCTGCAACTCCGCGCGGGCCGTCTTGATCAATAGTTTCTTGTCGCCCGTGCTAAGCTCGACCTTAGAAGAGATTACTTTGGATAGGGGCGACTTTGCCAGGTCCATGCTGGAGAAATCAACCCAAGATCCCTTAGACAAGCTTTTGTCCGAATACGGCCCATAATACTTATTGCCCAAAACCATAGGTCGAAACGCGTTGAAATGGTCTTGGAGAAAAGGCTCCATCTTGGCAATGCGCGCGTCGGCGTCGGCATCATCAGCCCATCCCACAAACGCAACGCGACGTCGAGCGGGGTCAAAACGATTGATATTATTATGCATGTCTTTGATGGCGCTGTTGGCAGCAATGTCCGGGACGAACGTCTGAGACTCCAGCTTCGTGACGCGAGTGCCCATTTCGTTGCAGAGCTTTTCCAAGGGGTTCATATCTTCGGAGACGCAGACCTTGATCTCCTTGTTGATCTGCTTTTGAAATCCTCGAGGTCGGACCGAGGCCATTCGGTCCATCTTCTCTGAAAACGCGTTGGTGGCATCAAAGACCTCCATGTTCGGGGATTGCCTGGTGGCGAGGCCGTCCTGAGATCCAGGCCCTGGTGTCGGAGAGCCCAAAGTCTCTTTCAGGCGTTGAATGTGTTCGAGCTCCTCCTTCACAGGAGACGCCGAAGGCCCTCGCTTGACAGTCGATGCGAAGGCGCTGTCGAGGCCCCTCTGCGTAGCCATGGCGGCGCTGTGTTGGAAGGGATGTAGGACTGGATAGGTGAGACGCTTGGCAGTACGCCGCCCCGGCGACACGCTAGGCAATGCGCCGCCCCAGCGACACCCTTGAGCTTGACATTGAGCCACCGCGACGTCTCGAGCCAAAATGGCTTCGGCGACTGCGACCTCTTGAACCACTGCGACCTCGTGAGCCACCGCGACCTCTTGACCTTGAGCCACCGCGACTTCTGGAGCCACCGCGACCTCTTGGCGGTTGGCGGGGGCCATGATATCTCCTTGGTTTTCGTGTCCCCCCTCACTACTCCATTGCATCCCTTGGGCCCCTCCTCGTCCACGCACATGCCAAGGGCCATGATTTGCGACCCCCCCTGTGGGACGCCCCCTCTCATGGACGCCCCCGAGATACGAGCCACCGCCGTTGAGCGGGGGGCGGGGGCTTGCCATGGACCCCCCCTTCCAAAATTCGCTTGCTTGCGTCGCCTTCTTCGTATGTGGAAGGCACGATGCGCAGGGACTTGGCCCAAAGAGCGAGAAGGCGCTGGACTCGATACCTCATGGGCCCTGCAGCCAACGCGCCTGCTAAGGACGCGCGCTATCATGTAGGGTACCCTTAGGTGCACAGCGCGCACCGACCGCTCTCAGCGCGGTGGCGGACATCGTGTGCTACGACTCCGCATTTGGCGGAGACACGCAGCTGGGCCACACCGAGCTGCCGGTCGGCGGCCTGAGCTGCTCCTCGGAGTACACCGCCTTCGACGGCACGACGCTGGGCGGCACCTGCAAGCTGAACTTCTCCATGCACACCGGCGGCACGTGGGGCAACAAGGAGCCAGGGCGAGAGCCCGAGGACGTGGCCAGGGGCGGACAAACCGCGCCCCACGATAGCTTGCCCTTCATATGGAGGATGACGATTAATAAATGACCAGGGGGTCGTGTTCACGCGGCGGCGCCCGGGATGACGATTAGAAAAAACCGGCCGCGGGCTGGACAACTCTTTTTTTACCGTTCTCCTCAAGTCAGAAAACTGTGCAGAAAAAGCAGAAAACTATTGTTTTATCGCTCTCTCCCATTTTTTACCTAAGAGCGAAGACTGATAGGTTTCTAATGGTCTCAAAAGAAAGCATCATGACTCCCCATGGGGGTCCGGGCAGGATCCGGGGAGAATCCGCGGAAGTCGTTGTAACAAACAGTTACACACTTCATGGTCTTCGAGGTCCCAGAACTCCATTCCCGGGCCACATTCTGAATGCCCGGAGCCAGCTGTAGGCCACTTCGTGTTCTTCGAGTTCCCAGAACTCCATTCCTGGGCCACATTTTGAAAGCCCGGAGCCAACTGTAGGCCAATTCGTGGTCTTCGAGTTCCCAGAACTCCATTTCCGGGCCACATTTTGAATGCCTGGAGCCAGCTGTAGGCCACTTCGTGCTCTTCGAGTTCCCAGAACTCCATTCCCGGGCCACATTTCCAATGCCTGGAGCCAACCGTAGGCCACTTCGTGCTCTTCGAGTTCCCAGAACTCCATTCCCGGGCCACATTGTCAATGCCCGGAGCCAATTGTAGGAGGAGCAGGGGCAAGAGCACGAGGAGGAGGAGGAGGAGGAGGAGGACGAGCAAGACGAGGAGGACGAGGACGAGCACGAGGAGGAGGAGGAGGAGGAGGAGCAGGAGAAGGAGGACGAGCAGGAGGAGGAGGAGGAGGACGAGGACTCCTACGTGCGAGGACGAGCAGGGGGACGAGCGACTGCGAGGACACCGGAATGCTACACCAGGACTCCTACATGAATCTCAAGGGCAATGCTTCCAGATATGCTTCTACGCATCGCTGTCAGGTTGCTTTGCCAGGATAATATTAATCGTCATCCCGCATTACTTCTCCGGGGAAGAGAACGGCACAGACATCCACTTTCGGAACTTTCTGTCTCGGATCGGCGCTGGGCCCCTCCGGCGGCGTCCCCGGCACCTCCCCTTGCGCGCTCCGCGCGCCTGGGAGGGGGGCCCAGTGCCAATCCAAGACATCCGCGCGGACCTCTGACAGCTTTCGCTCCTGCCGCCGCTCGCTTTTTCTCAGGCGGTCAGGAACTGGTGCTTGGCGTGTCGCTCCGCCGGTTCTGGCCCACCACGCTTCGGAGCCACACGCAGTCCACGCCCCCGGTCCCAGCTGTCAACGCCCCGAGCCTTTCCGAGCCTCCCGCCCCGCGGCGCGGAGCGACACGCTATCCGCTCACAGGGCACAGCGTGTCGCTGGGGCCGCCACCTCGACACGCGAAGCAAAAGTAGGGGAACAAAAAGTGACATAAACATGAAAACTCGGAGGTCCGCGCGGATTTCTCGGATCGGCGCTGGGCCCCCCCGGCGGCGCCTCCGGCGCCGCCCCTGGCGCGCTCCGCGCGCCAGGGAGGGGGGTTCAGTGCCGATCCGAGAAATCCGCGCGAACCTCCGAGTCTTTATGTTTATGTCACCTCTTGTTCCCCTAGAAAGTTCCCGACCGTACTGTGCTGGGCAAATTTTCCACCACCACTACCATACGTAGGACGGGGGAGGAGAAGGGAAGATGGAGAGGTCCTCCTCCTTCTCCTCCTCCTCCTCCTCCTCCTCCTCCTCCTCCTCCTCCTCCTCCTCCCTCTCCTACCTATGGTAGTGGTGGTGGAAAATTGGCCCATCATGCTGGGGTCGGGGCCGGCGCTCGTTTTTTCCGGGCGCCTGCCGTCGCGCGTGCCGCGCGCTTCTCTCTTCGTGGGCCTCGAGATCGAGCCCGAGTCGAGCCGCACCTCCGCGCGCTTCCTGGGACGAGGGTCAAGTCGGGCCTGTCCCTCTACAGTCCCTTAGGGCTTGTCGACGTTTCGCCAATCGACTTGTGAGAGTCGAGCCAGATAAACCCAGGTGAATGCAGATCAATCGAGGTAAATCCAGGTAAATCTAGATAAATCTGGGTAAATCCAGGTAAATCCAGAGATCTCCAGGGAAAGTTCGAGCACTTCGCGGCCGCTCCAGCGCGAGTCGAAGGACGGCAGAAGTCGTTAAGCCTTTAACGATACAGGGGGAATACTCAAAGATAGTGAAACATAGTTTGGGGACCATTGTTTGATTATTTCATTGAACGCCCCTGAGGGGGCAGACACCGCCGCCCCACTTTTTCTCTGGAGCGCGGAGGTTGCGTGGGGGGGGGGGGGCAAATCGGGATGTAGCGGGGGTGTTCACTCAGCTTTGGCTGGGCTTTGTCAGCAATCTCTTCGTGCTGTGGGTGTGTACCTCCTCTCACCCGCGCCTCCGGCTGGTGTCTGTTGGGAGCGTGCGCGCGCCAGGCTGTGTGATGTGAGGGTGCGGAAGGATTCAAGGCTCCGGCCCAGTATTCTTGGACAAGAGGGTGCCAGAAGGCCCGGGAAGGTACGACCGTATAGGGAACGCTCCCCCCCAGTATTCTTGGACAGTAAGGTCTCAGAGGGCCTGGAAAAATACGAAAGGGGGGTCTTAAAGACTCTGCCCCAAGAGAGCCGGAAAATGACAAAAACGCCAGATTGGACAATAAGGTCTCAGAGGGCCTGGAAAAATACGAAAGTGGGGTCTTAATGGCTCTCAGAAAGCCCCAAGAACGCCAGAAAGCCTTAAGAGAGTCTGAAAATGATTTTTTTAAAAAAAGACGCCTGAGGGTGTGCAAAGGTGTGGAGGAAAGGAAGGGGCATACGGAGAGGCGTACAAACGAGATCCGAGTTAGTTTGGGGGCCTCAAAAGGGACTCCAGGGACCCCCTGGGCGCGCCCAGGACGGCCCAAGAAAGCCCAAAAAATGCTGCCAGACGGCCCAGGCCGGGGTCGGGAGGCGTGGAGGACAGCCGCAGAGAGCGCCCGCTGATACCAACGTGCTTCCAAGAGCTTGCGAAGACGTACGTGAGCTCGAAACGAGGCAAGAATAGAGGCTCGACAAGGCCAGAATGGACATAATCATAAGTGTTTTACAAGGTGTTTTGCGTGTTGGTTTTCTGTGGTCGAAGCGGGCCGAGGAGAGGTGGGCGGACTGCCAGACTGGACCAAAATGGCTTGGAAGACGGCCAAGATCGCCCCAGGAAAGCATCTGGAGGCTTCCAAAATCGAGTCAGCGGGCTCCCGGAGAGGCCTCTGAGAGAGGCCGGCGGCGCCTTGAAGACGAACATGTCCAACGAGGTGTGTTCTGAAGCGAAAGTGATGGCCAAAGAGCGCTCATTCCGCAGCTGTGGCCCCCGGGCCGGCGGAATGAGCAGGCCGCGGGGAGGACCCCAGGAGGGGTTGCAAGCGCTTTGAGGAATGGGTATTGGTACGAGGAGTTCGTGCGCGCGCAGATTGAGGGGACTGAGTTCGTGCAGACCATGCGGCGGGGATCTCACGCGCCGTTCCCGGTGGGGCGTCGGATCGCTTCGCTCATTCCGCCGGCCATCGAGCGCTCTATGGGGCCTCTTTGAAGCCTCTTGGGGGCCTCCTTGGGGCTTCCTAGGGGCCTCTTGGGGGCCTCTTGAGGGTCTCTTGGGGCTCCTTGGCGGCGTCTTGGGGCCCCCAGTGGGCCTCTTGGGGGGCTCTCGAGGGCCTCTTGTGGCGGGGCAGTTGAGTGGACCATTGTTTGATTATCGTTTGCCCATTTTGGGGTATTGTTGGATTATCTTTATTTTGTTCGCTCACAATCCCCCCGCAGGGGGACAGGCCCGACCTGAGACGAGGGGGGGGGACCCCGAGGCGCACCGCGGAGCGCCCAAGTACCAGGCCCTGGCGCAAGCCGCGGCTGGAGCTGGAGGAGCAAGCAGGGCACGAGCAGGTTTTGGTTCGGGCGCTTTCGTGGACCGCTTTGATTTGTTTTTGGGGGAACAAAAATTGACATAAACATAAAAACTCGGAGGTCCGCGCGGATTTTTCGGATGGGCGCTGGACCCCCCTCCCTGGCGCGCGGAGCGCGCCAGGGGCGGCGCCGGAGGCGCCGCCGGGGGGGCCCAGCGCCGATCCGAGAAATCCGCGCGGACCTCCGAGTTTTCATGTTTATGTCATTTTTTGTTCCCCTACTTTTGCAGCGAAAGGCGGAACGACGACAGAACAAGGGAAACGAAAACGTGTCGTGTTGATTTCGTTCTGCAGCGAAAGGCGGAACGACGACAGAACAAGGGAAGCGAACACGCGTCGTCTTGATTTCGTTTTGCAGCGGAAGGCGGAACGACGACAGAACAAGGGAAACGAACGCGAAACGAAAACGGAGAGAATCACAACACAACTCGCCGCTTGGGCCCCGCCGCCAGCCCAAACGGCGAGCACACGTCGGGCGCAGCCCCGCACGCATTCGAAGGCCCACGTTTCGTCCTCGTACTACTCGTGCTCCTCCCTGTCCACCTGCCCATCCTCATCGTCGCCGTCGTCACACACTGTTTAGGTCGAGCCTTGTGAACCGGGGTCGTGCTGACCAGGGTTCAGGCTCTTGCGGGCGCCGTCTAGGTCGAGCCTTGCGAACCACGACGAACGCACAACACACACCCATACCCGTGGGAAGGTCGGAGGGAGAAGGACTGGCTATGGGTATGGGTGCGTGTTGATCGTCCGCCAAACCAGGGTCGTGCTGACCGGGGGTCGGGCTCCTGTGGGCGCGGGCCGGAGTACCGGTCGACCTCGGTCAGTTTCCTCCTCCTCCTCCCCCTGCTCCTCCTCCTCCTCCTCCTCCTCCTCCTCCTCCTCCTCCTCCTCCTCCTCCTCCTCCTCCTCCTCCTCCTTCTCCTCCTCCTCCTCCTCACTGCACCCCCGAGCGCCTCGGGGGGGCACACAGGGGTCCGGCCAGAGAGGGGGCCGCGGCGGGGCCCAGGGCCCTCGTGCTCCCCGCCCTCTGCCCCTGCGGACGACGCCGGCGTCGAGAAGCGAGCCGTGCGCACACGCGGAAGAAGAAGAAGAATGATCATGTTGCGTGCTGTGCTGACCGGCCGTCGGGTGGTGATGATTTGTTTATTCATGCCCCACATGTTTCGTGGGGTTCTGGTTTTCTTCTCTGCCGCTTCGCACCCGCGTCTCCCCACACACACACACACACACACACACACACACACACACACACACACACACACACACTCCCCCCACACACACAGCACAGCACAGCTCAGCACAGCTCAGCTCAGCACAGCACAGTACCAGGGTCGGAGAGCGTGGCAGGGGTGGCACTGTCCCGACACCAGAGAGGGTGCGCAGGGGGTGGTCCCTCAGCGCGGTTTCTATCCGTGACACGCTCGCAGATCGTGGCAGGAGTGGCACTTTCTCGACGCCACAGGGGGTGCGCAGAGGGTGGTCCCTCAGCGCGGCCTCTATCCGTGACACGCTCGCAGATCGTGGCAGGAGTGGCATTTCCTCGACGCCACAGGGGGTGCGCAGAGGGTGGTCCCTCAGCGCGGCCTCTATCCGTGACACGCTCGCAGATCGTGGCAGGAGTGGCACTTTCTCGACGCCACAGGGGGTGCGCAGAGGGTGGTCCCTCAGCGCGGCCTCTATCCGTGACACGCTCGCAGATCGTGGCAGGAGTGGCACTTTCTCGACACCACAGGGGGTGCGCAGAGGGTGGTCCCTCAGCGCGGCCTCTATCCGTGACACGCTCGCAGATCGTGGCAGGAGTGGCACTTTCTCGACACCACAGGGGGTGCGCAGAGGGTGGTCCCTCAGCGCGGCCTCTATCCGTGACACGCTCGCAGATCGTCGCGGGTGGCACTTTCTCGACGCCACGGGGTTGCGCAAAGAGTGGTCCTCAGCGCGGCCTCTATCGTGACACGCTCGCAGAGTGGCAGTGGCACTTTCTCGACACCACAGGGGGTGCGCAGAGGGTGGTCCCTCAGCGCGGTGTCTATGCGCACCAGGGTCGGAGAGCGTGGCAGGGGTGGCGCTTTCTCGACACCAGAGAGGGTGCACAGGGGGTGGACCCTCATCGCGGTCTCTATGCGCGCCAGGGTCGGAGAGCGTGGCGGGGGTGGGAGGGTGCGCAGTGGTGGTCCCTCAGCGCGGTCTCTATGCGTCCCAGGGTCGGAGAGCGTGGCAGGGGTGGCATGTTCCCGACACCAGAGAGGGTGCACAAGGGGTGGTCCCTCAGCGCGGTCTCTATGCGTGCCAGGGTCGGAGAGCGTGGCAGGGGTGGCACTTTCTCGACACCATAGGGGGTTCGCAGGGGGTGGTCCCTCAGCGCGGTCTCTATGCGTGCCAGGGTCGGAGAGCGTGGCAGGGGTGGCACTTTCCCGACACCAGGGAGGGTGCGCAGGGGGTGGTCCCTCAGCGCGGTCTCTATGCGCGCCAGGGTCGGAGAGCGTGGCATGTGTGGCATTTTCCCGACACCAGAGAGGGTGCGCAGGGGGTGGTCCCTCAGCGCGGTTTCTATGCGTGCCAGGGTCGGATAGCGTGGCAGGGGTGGCCATTTCTCGACACTAGAAAGGGTACGCAGAGGGTGGTCCCTCAGCGCGGTCTCTATGCGTGCCAGGATCGGAGAGCGCGGCAGGGGTGGCACCTTCTCGACACCAGAGAGGGTGCGCAGGGGGTGGTCCCTCAGCGCGGTCTCTATGCGTGCCAGGGTCGGAGAGCGTGGCAGGGGTGGCACTTTCTCGACACCAAAGAGGGTGCCCAGGGGGTGGCCCCTCAGCGCGGTCTCTATGCGTGCCAGGGTCGGAGAGCGTGGCAGGGGTGGCACTTTCTCGACACCAGCGAAGGTGCACAGGGGGAGATCCCTCAGCGCGGCCTCTATGCGTGCCAGGGTAGGAGAGCGTGGCAGGCGTGGCACTTTCTCGACACCAGAGGGGGTGCGCACGGGGTGGTTTCTCACCGCGGTCTCTATGCGTGCCAGGGTCGGAGAGCGTGCCAGGTGCGGCATTTTCTCAGCGAGTGGTCCCTCAGCGCGGCCCCATATGCTTGCCAGATTGCATCATCACGCCAGAACTGTAGACATCTTGGCCCGAATCTGCTTGAATATTGCAGACGCTGCCTTGCCCCCCACGCCGCTCATGCCGCCCAAATGTCCCATTGACGCACTGCCGCCTCCGCGTGTGAAGCTGAAGGAGTCCATGACCGACGCAGCTGTCATGGACTCCTTCAGCTTCACATAGATGATAATGACAAGCAAGCACATAAGATTAAAAATGAGTATGTGGGGTTCCTCGGTGGCGTAATTGTTTTGCCAATCGGCGCGGGCCCTCGCACCCCCCACTCACCCCCCTCATGGAGTAGATCTTGGCTGTCTTTGGGCGCCTGTTTCGAGCAGGTGGAGCCTCCCCCATGATGGGCGCCCTGCTGCAAATAGTCGCATTAAGCAGAGGTCCGGAGCCAGACCCCCCCTCCCCCCCTTCCGCCCATTGTCGAAACGCCGAAGAAAAGAAACGCTCTCGTGCTGATAAGCCTACCACCCCTGGTGTTCCCTGCTCTCGCCCCTCTGGACAACGCCGGTGTGGAGAAGTGGGTCCCGCGCCCACGCAAATGAAGAAAAAAAAGAAGAAGAAGAAGAAGAAGAAGAAGAAGAAGAAGCAGAATCATGGTGTGTGTGCTATGCTGACCGGGCGTCGGGTGCTGATGTGGTTGGTGAACCCTGGTTAACGACGTGCTTGGAGCCGTGACCCAGAGCTGGACCTAAACGGTGTTTGGGCGATTTCGCGGGCCGTTTTCGTCTCGACCTCGTCTTGCGGCAACGGCGGACGGAAGACACAACGACGGGAAACGACAACAAAGCGAACACGAAGAACACCGTTTGGGCTCAGCCCTGCCGTGGCCCTTCCGACTGCCCCGCGGCGCCCCAGCAGGAGGAGGAGGAGGAGGAGGAGGAGGAGGAGGAGGAGGAGGAGGAGGAGGAGGAGGAGGAGGGGGAGGGGGAGGGGGAGGAGGAGGAGAGAGGAGGAGGAGGAGTGGAGGAGGAGGAGGAGGAGGAGGAGGAGGAGGAGGAGGAGGAGGAGAAGAAGAGGAAGAGGAGGAGGAGGAGGAGGAGGAGGAGGAGGAGGAGGAGGGAGGGAGGGAGGGAGAAAGGGGGGGGCTGGCCGTCCCGAGGCGGCGGGCGGCGCGCCGGCGTGCTGCTCCGTGCAGTGAGAGGCGGCGCGCGCCCGCCTCTCGCGGAGAGGTCGCGCCGAAGGGCGCCGCGAGCCCTTTCGGCGGGCTGCTCGGCGCCCTTCGGCCGTGCGGCGCGGCAGCCCCCCCCCCCTCCGCAGGCCTCCGGCGTCCTGCGCGCTCCGCGGCGCGGGTGCCTCCAGAGCTCTCTCGGCGCCATCCCCGGGGCCGCGGCCTCTCGTCGCGTTTCGTGGTGCTCCTCCTCCGCAGGCCTCTCTGGCGTCCAGGAGTTTCGAGGAGGTCTCGGCTCATTCTCGCCTGTTCTTCCAGGATGTCCTTGGGTTTGTTGGCAGGATGTCTCGAGCGAAACGCTCGTGTTTCATAATTTGTTGAGGATGTCTCGGGCGAAACGCTCGCTCCGCGGCGCGGGTGCCTCCAGAGCTCTCGAATGCCATCCCCGGGGCCGTGGTCTCTCGTCGCGCTGTGTGGTGCTCCCCCCCCTCGTGGGGCGCTCTGCCTGAGGCGTCCTCGCCTGTCGTGTGTGCCAGGCGGCAGCTGGCCACCGTGTGGGCGGGTCCCGCTCCCTGGCCCTCGCGGGTTCCCCCGGGGCGTTCGGTGCTTCGGCTGGGGACCGCCCCGCCCGCAGCACCTCGAGGAGCCCACCAGCTCCCCCGAGGAAGGTGTCGCTCTGCGTTGGATCGCACCGCATTGCTTTGCAGTGCGTTGGCGCGCACTGGTTTGCCATTGTACCGCCCTGCTTTGCACTTCTGTGTGCTGCATTGTTCTGTGCAGTATTCATGAAAGCCGCGGTTCAAATCGGCTCGGTTCGGTTCGACGCGCACCGAGTCCGGATCGGCCGGTTCGGTTCGCGTCCAAGACAGGTTCTGTTCGGCCGGTTCGGATCGGGTCGCAGACTGGTCCCGTTCGGCTGGTTCGGTCTTCAGGTTTTCGGTCGGTTTGGTTCGGCCCGTTCGGTTTTCAGGTTTCGGTCGGGTTGGTTCGTCCTCGTCCTCGTCGTCGTCGTCGTCGTCCGCGTCGTCGTCGTCGATATCCACGTCGCCGTCGCTGTCGCCGTCGCTGTCGTCGTCGTCGTCGTCGTCGTCGTCGTCGTCGTCGTCGTCGTCGTCGTCGTCGTCGTCGTCGTCGTCGGCGTCGGCGTCGGCGTCGTCGGCGTCGTCGTGGTCGTCGTCCTCGAGGGGGGGGCCCAGACGACGACGATCCGAGGGGGGGCCTGATGGCCCGAAGGGAAACGAGTGAGCCCACGGGAGTTCGAGGGGGCCCGAGCGGGCCCGAGGGGCACGAGGGGGCTTGAGGGGGGCTCGAAGGAGCCTGGGGGGGCCCCGACGGGTCCCGAAGGGGCCCGAGAGAGGCCCGACGAGGGCCCGAGGAGGGCCGAAAACTGTTCGAGAGGGGCCCGAGATGAGCCTTGAGGGGGCCCGAGGAAGGCCAGAAGGGAGCCCAAGGGGGGCCCCGAGGGGAGCTGGAAGGGGGCCCTAGAGGGGGGGCCTGACAGGGGGGCCCGAGGAGGAGAGCCCGACGAGGGCCCGAGGGCGGCCCGAGGGGGCCCGAGAGGGGCACAGAGGGGGCCCGAGGGGGGCCCGAGGGTGGACTCCCAGGGCGACGGCGCCGACGACCACGGTCGAGGAGGGCCCCGAGGGGCCCGAGAGGCTCCGAGGGCCCGAGGCGGCCGCAGCAGACTGTTCTGTGGGCTGGTTCCAGCGCCGGCCTCCTGGCGGGCCTTCCACGACGACGACCTCGACCACGACGACGACCACGACGACGGCCACGACGACGGCCACGACCACGACCACGACCACGACCACGACGACGACAACGACGACCACGACCACGACGACGACCACGACCACGACCACGACCACGACGGCGACGGCGCCGAGTACGACGACGACCTCGACCACGACGACAACCACGACGACGACCGCGACCATGGCCACGACCACGACGACGATTACGACCACGGCCATGACCACGACCACGGCGCCGAGTACGACGACGACCACGACCATGACCACGACCACGACAACGACCACGACCACGAGCTTGACGACAACCACGACGACAACCACGACCACGACCACGACCATAACGACGACCACGACCACGACCACGACGACGACGACGACGACCACGACCACGACCACGACGACGACCACCACCACGACCATGACCACGACGACGACGGCGCCGAGTACGACGACGACCACGACGACGACCACGACGACGACTACAACCATGACGACGACCACGACGACAACCACGACCACGACGACGACGGCGACAACGACCACGACCACGACCACGATCACCACGACGACGACGACGACGACCACAACCACGACCACGACCACGACGACGACAACGACCACGACCACGACCATGACCACGACGACGATCACCACGACGACGCCGCCGAGTACGACGACGACCATGCCGACAACCACGACCACGACGACGACCGCGAAAACGGCCACGACCACGGCCACGACCACGACGACGACCACGACGCCGACGGCGCCGAGTACGACGACGACGACGACGACCGCGACTACGACCGCGACCACGACCACGACAACGACCACGATCACGACAACGACGACTACCACAACCACGACCACGGCCACGATGACGACCTCGACCACGACCACGACTATGACCACGACGACGACGGCCACGACGACAACCACGACGACGACCACGACTACGACCACCGTTACGACAACGACCACGACGACGTCCACGGCGCCGAGTACGACGACGACAACGACCACAACGACGACCACGACCACGATTACGACCATGACCACGACCATGACCACGACTACGACGACCACGACCACGACCATGTCCACGACCACATTCACGACCACGACAACGACAACTACCACGACCATGACCACGACGACCACCACCACGACAACGACCACGACCACGACGACGACGACCACGACCACGACGGCGACGACCACCACGACCACGACCACGACCACGACCACGACCATGACCACGACCACGACTACGACCATGACTATGACCACGACGACGACCACGACCACGCCCACAACCACGACGACGACGACGACGGCGCCGAGGACGACGATGACCACGTCGACGACCACGACCACGACGACGACCACGACCACGACCACGACCACGACGGCGACCACGACCACGACCACGACCACGACCTCGACGACGACGACGACGCCGACGACGTCGACGACCACGACCACGACCAAGACCACGACCACGACCACGTCCACCAGCACGACGACCACGACAACGACCACGACCATCACCACCACCACGACCACGACCACGACCACGAGCAAGACCACGACGACGACCACGACGACGACGACGACGACGACGACGACGACCACGACCACGACCACGACCAAGACCAAGACCAAGACCACAACCAAGAGCACCACGACGACGACGACGACGACGACGACGACGACGACGACGACAACGACGACGACGGCGATGGCGACTGCGACGACGACGACGACGACGACGACGACGACGACGGCCAGCGGCGGCGGCGGCGGCTGCGGCGGCGGCTGTGATGTTCGGTCCCTGTCCTGAGATGAGGTCCTGACGGAGGGCCCCAAGAGGTGAGACCTGGGTCATGAGGGTGGATCCTGAGGGGAGGGGTGGGGTGGGAGGCCCTGGGGGGGGGGGGAGGGATGTCGCGAGAGAGGGTCATGTCCTGAGAGGGGGTGCCGCCCTGACGATTCTGTGAGAGAGCGTCCTGTCCTGAGAGGGGTCGTCTTACTCGGCGCACGTCGTCGTCGAGCTCGCCGTGCTCGGGGCCTCTGCTGCTGGCTGCCCCTGGCCGCTGCCTGCCCCTGGGGGGCCCTGTGCGTCCCACGAACGCGGCCCCTGTGCCCGGCGTCGTCGTCGTCGTCGTCGTCGCCGCCGCCGTCGTCGTCGTCGTCGTCGTCGTCGTCGTCGTCGTCCTCGTCGTCGTCTTCGTCGTGGTCGTCGCCCCGCGCTGCGCCCATGACCAGGCAGATGCCCACACCCGCGACAATCAATCAATCAGCAACCGGTCCGGTTCGATTCGGCCGGTTCGATTCGTGCAGCAGGCCGGTTCGATTCGGCCGATTCGGTTCGGCTGGTTCGATTCGCATAGCAGGCCGGTCGGGTTCGGCTGGTTCGGTTCGGTCGGTTGGTACGGTTTTGCCCGTTCGGTTCCAGAGCCGGCTCTTGGTTTTCGGCTTGGTTCGCGGCCATCATGAGTATTGCATCGCGTTTGCGTGTTGGTGCGTTGTTTGCCAAAGTGTTGGAATGGTTTGTATGGTGTTGCACCGAGTCACATTGCAGTATTGCGTGCTGTAAGTTTGTGTTGTAATTCATTGCGTTGCATTGGTTTGCAGCGCGTTGCAGTGCAACGCGTTGCTTTGCACCAGTTTGTCACACTGCCGTGTGTTATACTGGATTTGCTTTACGGCGCATTGCTTCGCACAGAGTTGCTCAAGGCGTGGCACTGCACTGCGCTCCCAGGCAAGTTGAGCCTGATCACTTGAAGCCAAGCGAAGCCAGGCAAGACAATGCCGTCGGAGGACCGGGTCTGTGGAGCAGCTTCTGTCGAAAGGCCCAGTGTCCAGGGGTGGGCGTTGCACGCGCGGGGGGGGGGGGCGAAAGACAACATGTCCGCGTCCGCAGCCTCGCGGGCCGGGCCCCCTGGCCGCGACCCCGCGGATACGTGCGCTTTTTGTTCGCGGCTGCCCCGCGCGGAACGCGCCCGTGCGACCGCGCATCCGCGGGGTCGCGCCCATCGAAGCCCAGACCGCGAGGGCGTGGATGTGGATGCCCGGACCCCCGACCTCGTGATTTCTTCACGACGTCGACCCCTAGAGGCCTGAAGCCTTTCCCCAGGACCAGTTTTTCATCCAGAGTCGTCCGATGACGGTCCCGAGGCCCCAGCAAGGGCCTCCAGGGGCCGAGCGTGGCGCAGAACCTCCTGCCGTGATTTTTGCCACAGCGCGAGGGGGTCTGGGTACCCAGACCTCCTCGCGTCGTGAAAAAATCACGGCGGGAGGTTTTTCGCTATTTTCGCTCTCTGGAGGCCCTTCCCGGGCCTCGGGACCGTCAAAAAACGACTCAGGACGAAAAACCGGTCCCGGGGAAGGGGTCCAGACCTCTGGGGGTCGACGTTGTGAAAAAATCACGACGTCGGGGGTCTGGGTACGCTGTCGCCGCTCGTGAGGTGGGAGGCCCGGCGGCGCGCCTGGCCGCTGGTTTGAAAGCGAGGTCCCCCAGAAGTGTTTAATGTTTAATTTCGGAGGGGAGCGCCGATGCGCGCCCCCCGCGCCTCGCTCGGAACGCAGGCGACTCGCCCGAGATCCTCCTCCTCCTCCTCCTCCTCCTCCTCCTTCTCCTCCTCCTCCTCCTCCTCCTCCTCCTCCTTCTCCTCCTCCTCCCCGTCCTCCTTCCCCTCCTCTTTCCCCTCCCCCAGACTCGGACGGACCCAGAGATCCGACGCTGCAAAAAGATTGGAGTGGCCGGGCTTGGGCTATGCTCGGCCTCTGGAGGCCCTCGCTGCGCTTCGGGGCCGTCCAGAACGACTCGAGGCGAACAAAAGCCGGCCCTGGGGAAGTGGTCCAGCCCTCCGGGGCCCACGCATCGAAAAAACTGGAGCGGGCAGATGTCTGGGCCCCTTTGCGCCACGCGTTGACGCCACCAGTGTGCTCGGCATCTGCCGGACCACTTCGGCAGCAGATCGGCACCCCTGCAACCAGTTGGCGGCGCGCCGAAGGGCCCCGACGGCGTCGACGACGGGCCGCAGTTGGCGGCGCGCCGAGGGGCCTCGCGCTCTCGCCGCCCCGGCTGGACGCAGCTCGGACAGCCTGCCCAGCCGGATTCGGTCTCGAGGCGCTGCCGGCCGGAGTCGGCGCGAGGGGGGCTGAGCTCGGCCTGGGAAAACAGGGCCAGAGGCTTAGAAAGGCCTTCTGGCTCCTCAGAAGGCCGCCCCCTCGCCCCGTCACCCTCTCCTGCGCGCCGCGCCGCCGGGGTAGGCTCCCGAAGCAGGAGCGGGCGCATGGGACTCGGGCGTGCGCACTGCAGCGGAGACCCACGCCGAGAAGCACCCCGCTTGCCCCCAGTGTGCCTCCTCCTCTCCCTCCTCCTGCCCTGGGTTTCTGGGGTTCTGATGGTTGTGCCACGAAGAGCGTGACGCTCCTCCTCCTCCTCCTCCTCCTCCTCCTCCTCCTCCTCCTCCTCCTCCTCCTCCTCCTCCTCCTCCTCCTCCTCCTGCTCCTTCTCCTCCTCCTCCTCCCTCCTCCTCCTCCTCCTCCTCCTTCTCCTTCTCCTCCTCCTCCTCCTCCTCCTGGGGCCTCCAGACTGGGTCTCTTGTGGAGTGCTTCTCGTGGGCTGGCCAACCACTGCAGGCCCTCCCCCCTCGGCGCCTCCGCTCCCAATGGCGAGCGCCGAGCCACGGGCGACCCCACACCCCACGCACGTGCGCTTGGCACGGGCCAGTTGGCCTCGAAGAAGAAAAATGGCCATACACCAGGGGCGGCAAAGAGGGGGGTGATGACTAGGGGGGGGAATATCATGGCGGGGGCCAAGATATTTCCCCAGATCTCATGGCGCCTCTTCGTTTTTCATTACGTCCCTGGCCCCCTCGCTGGGCCGCGCACATGCCGCCGGTCATGATTTGCACCCCCCCCTCTTGGACACCCCCCTCTTGGCCGCTCCCGAATACATATAAACTTTTGGCGCTCCGCGCGGATTTCTTGAAAACTCGCCGGGGCCCCCCTGGCGGCGCCTCCGGCGCCGCCCCTGGCGCGCCCCGCGCGCCAGGGAGGGGGGTCTGGCACGGATCCAAGACATCCGCGCGTTGCGCCAAAAGTTAATGTTTGTGCCGATTTCTCAGCGAGCGAAAAAAGGTATGAAATAAACTTTTTCGCTGTCGGGGGCGCCTGTCCCTGGGCGGCTCGAAAGTTTATACCCCTACGGTGCCACCGTAGGGGTATAAACTTTCCAGCCGCCCAGGGACAGGCGCCCCCGACAGCGAAAAAGTTTATTTCATACCGTTCTTCGCCCGTTAAATTTCTTCTTCGACGACCAGTTCCAGCTGCAAAGACCTCGGAAGCCGCACGGGGGCGTGGACGCGGAAGCGAAACCGCAGGCCGCCGCTCGGTGGTCCTCGGCGCGCGGCGCGCAGCGCGCAGCCCGAGGCCCCCGGCGCGCGCCAGGACTTCGACAGCCTTGGGCGCTTCGGGGGGAGGAGGAGGGGGAGGAGGAGGAGGAGGAGGAGGAGGAGGAGGAGGAGGAGGAGGAGGAGGAGGAGGAGGAGGAGGGGGAGGAGGAGGAGGAGGAGGAGGAACGAGGCGGATATCCGTGGGCACCACACATCATACCGAAATCGACGGCGGTGGGCAGAAGACGGCGGATGCGACGGGACTCGCGTGCAGTGCCTGGATCGGTGCAGCAGGTGTTGCCCCTGGTGTGCCGCTCCGTGGGGTGCGCGCATTCAACGATCGATTCCCAGTCCACTTCCTACGGCTGTTGTTCCTGCCACGGCGCCCTATCAAGAGACGACGTCTGGACAGAGCTAAGACTACGGCATATCCATTCCAGAGCGTTCCCGAACGCTGTCCGAGCGTTCCGGGACGCTATGAGAAGGCCGCGGCGCCGGATATATCTGCCAGGACCGCCAGATCTCAGAGATGTCCGATATATTCCAGAAGCTTACGCCATTCCGCCGCCCCTAGGAAGAGGCGGGGAGTCCACGGGTGAGGCGTCGTGGGGTTTTGGGGCACTATCTGGGAACTCTTGTGGGCGTCTTGGGAGCTCTTTGGAGGCTTGGTGAAAACTCTTGGAGGCAGTTTTGAGACGTCTTGGGGGCCGCTTGGGAGCCTCCTTTGGGCCTCTTGGGGACCTCTTGGCCGACTTATCCCTGTCCGTTGTCCTTGTTCTGGTCGCCTCAGACACGATACCTCGGATTCGCGCCACATAAGCGGGGAGGCGCTGTGTGGGGAAGAGGGGGGAGGGAGGGAGCGAAGAGGGAGGAAGGGACCCCTCCTCCTCCTCCTCCTCCTCCTCCTCCTCCTCCTCCTCCTCCTCCTCCTCCTCCTCCTCCTCCTCCTCCTCCTCTCCTCCTCCTCCTCCTCCTGCGTCTCCTCCTCCTTCTCCTCCTCCTCCTCATCCTCCTCCCCATCGCAGGCGGCGAAGACAGAAACTCCGAATGCAGAAACAACAAAAAAAAAAAAAAAAAAAAAAACGAGAAAACCGGTTGGCCGAAGAGAACACCGTTTTTGTCAGTCTTCCGGTTTCTTTCTGTTTGTTTGCTGGGTTCTTTCTGTCCCCCAAGTCGACCCAAGCTGGCCCCAGGGGAGCCCGAGATGGCCCCAGGCCCTTAAGAGGGCCCCAGCACAAGGCCGCCCCCGGACGCCTCCGGACCAGGCGCGCTGTCCCCAGACGTCTGGCGATGTGATCCGTCTCGGCCCATGGGAGAAACACACACTGTGGGAAAAAAACACACACAGTGGGAAAACACACACACAACAAAACACACGCAGCGTGTTTTTTTTTGTATGTGTGCGTGTGTGTTTCCCACACTGTGTGCGTGCGTGTGTGCGTGTGTGTGTGTGTGTGTGTGTGTGTGTGTGTGTGTGTGTGTGTGTGTGTGTGTGTGTGTGTGTGTGTGTGTGTGTGTGTGTGTGTGTGTGTGTGTGTGTGTGTGGTGTGTGTGTGTGTGTGTGTGTGTGTGTGTGTGTGTGTGTGTGTGTGTGTGTGTGTGTGTGTGTGTGTGTGTGTGTGTGTGTGTGTGTGGTGTGTGTGTGTGTGTGTGTGTGTGTGTGTGTGTGTGTGTGTGTGTGTGTGTGTGTGTGTGTGTGTGTGTGTGTGTGTGTGTGTGTGTGTGTGTGTGTGTGTGTGTGTGTGTGTGTGTGTGTGTGTGTGTGTGTGTGTGTGTGTGTGTGTGTGTGTGTGTGTGTGTGTGTGTGTGTGTGTGTGTGTGTGTGTGTGTGTGTGTGTGTGTGTGTGTGTGTGTGTGGTGTGTGTGTGTGTGTGTGTGTGTGTGTGTGTGTGTGTGTGTGTGTGTTTGTGTGTGTGGTGTGTGTGTGTGTGTGTGTGTGTGTTGTGTGGTGTGTGTGTGTGTGTGTGTGAGTGTGTGTGTGTGTGTGTGTGTGTGTGTGTGTGGTGTGTGTGTGTGTGTGTGTGTGTGTGTGTGTGTGTGTGTGTGTGTGTTTCACAGTGTGTGTGTGTGTGTGTGTGTGCGTGTGTGTGGTGTGTTTTCCCACAGGCCCTGGAAGCAGCTCTCCGTCCCGGAGCAGTGCTGCAGGTGGCCCCGGGGCCCCCGGTCGGTCGGCGACACCACGCTGCGATTGGAAGAACGCCGGGATTGAATGCGCCGAGGTCTGGGCAGCAAGCGTCGGAAGGGGCTGGGACGAGAAGAAGTCTGCTCCAGATCGTTCTAAAACGCTTTCCGGAACGCTCTGAGAAGGCCTCGGCGCCCGAGGCATCTCAGAGATTCTCGATTTTTTCACCCGATGTTATCCTCGTCTTGGTTTCGTCTTCAAGCGCGTCATGGCGTGGGCGATGGCAGGATTCGTTGCCGCTTCCCACCCAAAGGGGATGCTTTGGTCGACGTTGCAGAGAGACTGCGCCCATGTCAGCCAGATCCCTCGCGCTCCCTTGAGGGGTGACCGAGCCCTCGTGTTCCCCGCCAGCACCGATTTGAACAGCGCCTTTCGAGAAAATTATGAATTCTTCACGCTTCGCGTATCCCCACCAGTTTCGCGCCCCGCTTCGATTTGACACGCCGCCGGCGCTTCCGCCCGCGGCCGTTATCTAAAAAAAGTATCCCCACCAGCCCCCCTGGCTGGGCTGATTTGTCACTGTCGCCACTGGGCTACCCTTTCGGCCCTCCTCCTCGTCGCACTTGGGTGCTCTCCTGGTGGCTTCTGGAGGGCGCTTACCATTCGGCTCATCCTGTGGCCCTGGAGACGGCCTGCTG